CTGAAGAACATTTTTTTGTTTTTACCGAAAACTGCACTTTTTCCAGAAATATAATCTCATTCGGACGCATCTCTTTCCAATAATGTACAGTACAGCATAGAGTATACCTGTATAGTATATTACATTACCCTTGCCTATCTATGCGTCATTAGGGAGCATTTGCTGGAGGGGCCTCTTCCTGGTTGTCGCAGCAGCGGGCTGGGATGTAATCAGACAGCCGTGGTTTGTTTCACACTGTGAAAGCTTATGCGGCTCGGCGACGTGGGGATGGACATCGCGCGCGTGACCCGTGCGCGCAGGCTGTGCTTGTCCTCCCAGCGATGCCACCTTTTCCGCACCGCTGACCGCACCTACGGAGAGGATGAGTGGCGAGATATTAACTTCCTCGCTCGGTATACAGGAGTTTCGTTGGTTCGATCCCGACCCTGACGATGGCCGACCCTGACGATGATGTTGTCTATGTTTGCATGTGCCCTCTCCCCGTGGTCGCGTGGATGTTTCTCTGGGTTCGCTGGGGTGTTTTTTTTTTATACCCCCACGTTTATAAACTACGCGTTTAGAGTTTTTTGGCTGCTTTAAATTTGCACGTGATGATAAGCCACTTTGTTGAGCTATCGTTTGTGGCCAGGTCGCTTATGAAAAAGAGCCGTATAGCTCAGTGGGTCTGCCCAGGTAAAATACAATTATACAATAACTTAAGTCCATGTTGTGTTTAGTTTGCTGTCCTTCCCGCGCACCTCCGAGTAGCACGGTTGGCTACGTACGGCGTGAAAGAAGTTCAGCGTACATACATGTCACAGTTCCTGCGTAAGGCACATCCTCGAAATTGAGGTTTTCAACCTTTTCATCTCTGCGGTACCCGTGAGATAGTGGTCTTATTTTTGTGTTTCGGTGCACTTATCAAAGGAGAGACGTAATCTCAAGTGGCATTTGTAGACCTTTGTACTACCGGGCCAGCCGTGGGGTGGGTGCTATCATGCCGTTTTGTCAGACTGCCATTATTTTAATGCCGCCCACCAAATATACACTCAGCGTGCGTTGACGTGCCATAAAGGGCAGTTGTCAATCATGATTTTTTTCGCGAGTGCTGTCAGTGTTGCTGGAGCAGCGGTAACATTATCTTAAGGGAAGATCCAACTCAAATTCTCAATGGCTCTTAATAAAAGTGTACAGCCCTTTGTCTATCCACTCCGGGAAGAAGGCCTCCCGTTGCCATGTCAGTCGTGAAGGTTGACTATACTTCACCACCAGGGGCGGAGCCACAGGGGGGGCTGGGGGGGGGGCTTAGCCCCCCCTGAAATTTTGGTCAAGTCGGTAATCGGGATAACCGGATATCCGGCTGCAGCAAAATGTTGGCTGCCACCTCGTGCTGCCCTGCAGGCTGCTTGAGCGGCAGCCTTTCGAACTTATCGAACTTATTAGCCACATCAGCGGCTCCGAACCTATTAATAAACTCCGCGTTCAAATCCAATAAAATTTGTTTTATACATTTGTGGCTCCCATTGGAAAACATAAACACACTGAGATATCTCAGAATATTGAAGTCAGCCCCCCCAAAGTCACAATCCTGGCTCTGCCCCTGTTCACCACGCTGGTCACTGCGGGTCGGTACTGTGTCTTGGGCTGTTTGACATAAATGTAAACCTTTGTCGTCGAGAACATGAGACATGAGAGTCACGGCCAAACACATCACTGTGACACGAGTAACATCGCTGCGGCCTCACTCGCGTGGGATTTAATTCGTCGTGCATGCATCAATGTCCCTGGAGTGCAATGACTGAACGTCCGAAGCCGTGGCTGCTATTGCCTTCTCGTTTTTCTTGCCAATGAAGCTCTCGACTCATATCAGACAGCCTGACACAAACACAGCCTCGCAGTGTATCTAGAAGACAAGAGCCATTTGTCTTTTGGGTTGCAGCTCCCCTGAACATATTGACGAAAGGAATTGCGTGTACATTACAGCACAAGCACTGGGTAATTACCACATCGTAATGGGTATGAAGTTAATTCGTATATTGAATATATATGGGTCATCATTACATATATGTAGCATATTTTAAAACCCATTTTTTTAAACGTTGGTAGTCGGAGTGATGCTTTGGGTAAAGTGATATTTGGACAATTCACAACCGCTGTGTTTTCCTTCCACGTGTTCCTTGAGGTTTCCCGTTCCCGATTACGTCATAGTTTAAATGTATTCAGTTGGTGACGTTGCTCCCCACACTCTGGGGGGTGTGGGGGGGGTTAACGGTTCAGGGGGTAACCGGTTACTCCTCACGCTGTTACGAGGATGCCTTGAAACCGTGGCCAGATGCAGTAAAAGCCATCAATTATCATCTTGAGATTTGAATGAACAGAATAAATATTCAACTGTGATCATTTCCAAATACCTTGAAGGTTACAGTAATGCGACATAGTTGCGCAGTCCCGAGGCCACGTTTAGTGACAGTACGGCATGTGTATTTTAGGTCCATCGTGAATGCACTTCAAGTGAATTGAGATGAAAGACCATGTTGAAATGCGTGTTTTATCGGCTTTTAAACGATGTTTTCACATGCTTACCTCTCCGTTTAGAAAACAGTAAAAGACAGAAACAAAGAAACCCTACAACGAAAGAAGCACAAGTGATAATTAAGGCATCAAATGTCAAATGCACAATGACAATTTTCAGTTCAATATTCATCGACTCATTTTGCTTTCATCTTCAATTAGTGCCACTCCCGAGAGGCCTTGAGCGCAGAACTCATGCCAAGTGCAGGAGCTCAATGGATCCGTCCTGCTTGAACAGCTGGAGAAGCGCCATGTCATCAGGCCGCATAAACAGTCGCATTGTCTCTTCAGTAACCCGATATCATAATAATATTATGATAATAGCCTATATTGTTCCAAGAAAACTATCGCTTAGGATCCAGACGTTTTTTTTTCACAATGTCCCTTGAATTGGTCGCTTAGTGGTTTGCGTGTGGAAGGAAACTGGAGACCTGTACCTTACAAAAATATATAATCTATTAGTCTGTGAGAATAACACTCAGAATCGATAGACATGTCAGAGATATACTTGCTGTACTGTTATCTACTGACCACTTTATACCACCACAGCTATTTATAAATGTGTGTGTATGTATACACACAGTTGCTGAGCACAGGTCAAAAGGGACCAAAACGTCAACGTCGCAAATCGCACACCGTAACACGTGTATCTGTGTGGTTAACACCTCGGCTTCTGGGTGTGCTTCACTAACACCACCTCTCAAGCACCTGAATTATAGGTGCGAAGCATCGGGTGGGGCCCCGGGTATTTGTGCAAACCGCCTCTCTTTAGCCCGCCAATGAGAAAACCCCTTGGGCAAGAAAGGGTGAATGCAGCCTCGAGACGTAATTTATTTACTGCTTATAAATACTGCAACACTTTTGCGCAGAAGAACAGCCAAACACAACCCCGAAATAAACTTTAATTCACCTGTCACGGCGAATGTGCTGCTGGAATGGGCTGCATTTACCATCCCACGCGCGGGATTGTGTGCTTTGGCCATTACCAGCCGACCCAAGCACCCGAGGCGATATAGCCCACTTTGTGGCCTTTATAAATAGCCGCCCGTTTACTAAACAGGTTATATCAATATGAGAGCCATTATTTATCCATTGCTAGCTGAGAAAGTAGGTCTGCACAATTATTAATCTGGGCAAGTGGCCAGGACACTATGTACTTGTAACTAATTCATATTTGGTAGTCGGGAGTTACGTAAAAAACAGAGTAGTTATTGATTTATAAAAAATAGCATGCGGACGTTTCCTTATATTTTTCCATTGTCCACAGTAGTCGGTGCATTGCTTGTGCAAAAATAAACAGCGTGGAACCTTGTGAGTTGTGCAAACCATCCATACTGAAGCAATCTGTTGATCCATCAAGTTCCCCTAATTTGTTTGCATTTCTTTTTTACTCCTTCACTTCAATTGGCACGTTTTGTGTTTTCACGTGGAGAATAAACAGCAACACAACTGCCTACACGTGGCCTCGTTGACCAACTGCTTCTCAATCCACTGTTAATACGTTCACTGAGCGTGGTTCAGCTGCTACCGGCATTGCACTAAAGAAGCTGATTTGGTATGGAAATGTTAATTGACGTAGCAATGTATTTTGAACTGCTGTATGAATATATATAAATATATATTGGCAGAACGTATGTCGTCAATTCACTGCTGGATGAAGGCCTCCTCAACCCCCATTTCTGGTCATGGGGGTTGTTTGAATGTGGGTCGGTGAAGCGGGAAGCCTATAATGGGTTCGGATACCACTCGCCACTGATGTTAGCCGTGACTGTGAATCAAATTTATGTGACACGAGGTTCACAGCGCAGTGCTGTTATATATGCCGGGTATGAAAATGTAATGAAAATACTATAAAATGAAATGAAATTTGGGAAAATGCGTAATTGCCCGAAATTATGTTAATTGCTATGCGCATATATTATGCTAATTAAGATATAATCGTATTAATTTATGCGAACGTGTTCGATTATGCTAATGTGCGAAGTTATGATAATTCGGCTCAACCTCGTTGTCGAGGGTAGTATTATCAATCGGGATAAGACAATTAATTGTATGAAGTTATGCAGGTGTGATGTAAGTATGCTAGATTAAGCTTGGCTTCGTTGTCTGGGGTTGTATTATCAATCGGTATAATACAATTATTCTCGCTTAAACATTTACTGATTATGTATTAGTGTGTTATGTCAGGTCTCCAAATTCAAATCTCACCGCAGGATACAGTTTTTATAATTAAGATTATTATGCATGAACTTAGGAAGGAACCACTCAGACACTTCTGTGTTAAGCAATTTTAATTTATAAACAAAATCTTAACACTCTAATATGCGAACTCTTATGCTTGGAATTGTCAACACAGTACTCCTGGAGATGTTCCTCTCATGATCCATACATTTAACCCTCAATGGTCACGTTCGTTAACTGGGTAACAGTACAATCGATTATTCCTCAGAGTACGCGAGCATACACGGCGAGAGGAAAAGTCATTAAAAATTCATGCAACGATATTCATACGAAGGGAAATAAAGAAACATGTCCCGAAGGCAATAGTAGTTATTAATTAATTCATTTGTAAGATTATGCAATAAAAAATGAACGACTAAAATACTTCTAAATGACCGTATCCATGTAACTCAATGGGCGGCAATGTTCTTCACGATCAGTTGATATTTAATGCACCACCTTCGAAAGGCAACCCTTCTTGAAACACAAATATATATTTTTGGAACAATGTTATTTGTCCCGATATGCGTGTTGTGTGTCTTCTTTGCCACTTGTTCAATTCTTTGTGTAAAGCAAACGCCGGGCGATACGTCGTGAGGCTGTGAGTGTGGGGGAGGGTCGTACAAACGGCTTCGTTCTCTCTCTTGCTCGGGGGCGGCCACAGTTTCGGTCCACAGCTGGCTGGAAGAGTCGGCACGAAGCTCGCCGTCGGCGCGCGACGATCCGTCGTCAGATAGCGCCCGCAGCTCGTCCGCTGGCTGCAGTTCCTCGCTCTTGTCTTGGTTCCAGCTGGTGCTGCTCGGCGTGCGTGTGGGTCGAACCCACGGCGCGCTCGCTGGCGCCGACGCTCTTGCTCACGGGCGGCCGGTCAGGCTCTTTCCCCTGCTGGATGAGCCGAGTCGGCACAACGCTTGTCCGCTGGCAGCTGGCACCCTCGCTTGGTGGTGCTGGTGGCGCGACTGCGTGCCCTCTCCGGCTCCGGCTCTCTGGCGATGAACGATGCTTTCGTTCGTTGATGGCAGGCTTGGTCGACGTTTGGCGCTTTCCGCCCTCTCTCGCGGATGATGCTGGAATTCTCGTCAGCTTAGCTCGAACTGCGGTGGCTCTTGTGAGTCGATGCCGAGAGCGGAATGATTTTCGAGCGATACTTCTTCCGATGGCGCTGAATTCGCACGGCGTAGCATGTCGCTACTCGGCACCTAACATCACCTCGCCCCTCTTCTCCGCGATGCACCACACTCATTGTTGATCTCGAGGCCATGCCCCGAAGCTGGCTTGCTGTCCTCTCCCGAGCTGCTGTCTCGCCGTCCCTTCCCGAGCTCTATTGTGTGTGTCGTGTTGCTGTTTATATCCGAAAAATCTCCCCTCTGCGTGTCTCTTGCGAGAGAAAAAAAAAACAGATGCTTACTCCGTCATGCTCTTCTCCCCCCGCGCCCACGCCTGATTGCCCCCCCCACTCCTCTTCCCTTGGTGACCCCGGGCGGGCTGCTTTACATCAAATTGATGTTTGTTTGCACTCCCAACCCCTCTCTTCGCGGTGTCCGCTAAGGGAGGGGACGCACCTTTCATACGTATTCTTGGCTACCATGTGTTTGTGTCAAATTGTTGGAAGACAAAGGCGGCCGGAGAGGCTCTGATTTCATGGAATACATTTATCTGGTCTTGTGTGTTCGACCTATTTTCTTGTACCTCTAATTAATTATCCTAGGTCTAATCTCTTGTGATTATTATTTGGTTTATGTTTAGCCAAGATTTGTAATGTCATTAGATGTTACCTCTGGTATTTCAAGGGTTTTATTAACTTTTGCTCTCTGTCTGCATCCAGGAATCAGTGCTTTTTATTCTCGAGGCTGGAGATATAACCAAGCCCTCACTTTCTCGACTGCCAGAATACACATTCCTTGGTTCTCTTGGTGAAGTTACATAGATAGAAATATTCAATAAGAAACAATATATGAGTTTAATAAGGGTGAAATAATATAAGTAAAAATAAAGCCACTAATATAGACTGCAGTCTATCAAGTCGACTTATTCTTATAGCCAAGCTTCAACTTTTTCCGTAAAAAAATATCAGTTATAATGTCCGTTTGCCCTGTGCTCTGTGTCTGTGCCTGTGATTCTGGATATTTGTTTGTGAACTCTCCAAAGTGCCAAGCAGGTCATGGCATGCGGTCCTTTGGCAATCTGGAGATTTTTCAGATCGTCGTTAACCTCCCTTTGCCCCGGAGTATATTATTGAATGGCCTTTTACGACCTCCAGATGCTTGTGCTTGTGGGAGGTAGCGGGTTTGAGGGTATTTATTTATTTGATCGATTATTATTATTATTAAACAAATGGCAGAATTATTGTTAATACTATTTTTTGGAAAAAGGCCTATATATACAACAGTGCCCTAACCACTGTGTCCACCCACCCACCAAACATGAATATTTAATTCAGCCATTTCCTCCAAGCTGCTATCGCCACTTTAAGGCAATCTTCTGCAAATATAGTGCCAAAGTGTCTTCACTAAAAGCCCATTTTATCCGATATTACACACTCGACCAATACCTGGCACCCAACGAGTTAATGAATGCGCCCCGTGCTCCCATGCTATACATTCATATTCAGCAATGATGCAAGAATGGTTTAAACCATGACTATCACTTAGAGGTGACACACACACACACATAAGGCCAAATTTTTTTTTTACAACTACATTATATATGTATTTTCCTTCTGGATATGTCGTTTTAACACTTGATACTCATGTATAATAGTTAACGTGAGGTTATGGGGCTTCATTCATGTATTTATGTTGTTACCCTAAGCCAGTGTAACTCATAGAAGGTACATTATTTCGTACACAACGAGGAAAACAAGAAACAATTCCATATATCATGAATAATGGCATTTATCCATGAAGGCCTGAGTCCATTAAGATACATCACATGTTCCATTTTAAATACTAATTATATTGTGTTCTATTGTGGGAGATGTGAATGACACTCAAAGGTCTCCACAAAGGAGTTCATGAACCCACTTGCTGCAAAATTAGATCTTTACTTTCGGGTTGCGGGAGTTTCACAAAGCTGGGCGATGCATCAGCCCTGTTGCTTCTAAAGTGCCAGGCTTAAGACATGGAATAGAAGTTTGTCGATTAAAACTTGAGAGTCTGAAGAGTGGGCTTCGGATCACTGTGTGGGCAACGCTTTAGCAGGTTGGCTACGTATGGTGCAAAAGAAGTACCGTACAACGTAAGGAGACCTGCACCTCTATCTGCGCCACAGGTCGACCTCCATCAAAAACGAAGTCGGTGTTACGCGTGAATGCTCCAGCGGTGGTTCATTAACTTTCAAATGTTGCTGCAATGTCCTTGTAACATGTATTGTATTTGAATGTGGAGCAGTGCTTAGGGGGGAATGGTGGCTCAGTGATTAGTACACTGCACTACAAACCTGATTTCCATTCCCTGCTCGGGACGAATAACAGTGGCAAACATTTGAACTGGCTCGGGGCCTGCCCTAGGTCGACTCAGCCTCAAACGAGTGCCTGGTGCGGTGTGTAAACATCAGCATTGGGGAGGTGAAGGTAGCTGTGAGTGGTGTTGACCACCAAACCCCTCGTGTGCCATGCTGGCTTTCACAGGTGCTTGCCCCAACAGTCTGTTAAAGGCTACGCGGGGGGGGAATTAGCGTTTGTATTGCTCAATGAGAGGGGGTGGATCGTTGAATGAGCAGCTGAGAAGATGAAAGGGTTAAAAGGGCATATGAATAAGTGAATGGGGTGGGTGAGTAAGGGGACAAGTCAGTGAGTAGATGAATGGGTGGGTGGATAGAGTGAGCAGGTCGATGAGTCCATGAATCGGCGAGTGATTAAGTGAAAAGCAATGATAAAGAATGAAGTTGGCAGGTGAGTAAGTGAAATATGTAGACGGTTAGTAGGTTTATATATATATATTATTATTATTTTGTTGTTTCCCTTCAACGTGACTTTACCGAAAGAACTAAGAATATGAAATGCAGGTGTTTATGTTAATGGTTACGTTTTTTAAATGTTAATATTTAGGTGAGTAAGTGTATGGTGATTGACCAAATGTTGATTGATTAAGACTCTAAGTTGTTTATAATGACCAGAATCTGTCAATCCACTGTTAGATGATGGCCATCATCATGCCGTTTCAGCTACGAGAGACTATTTGACTATACTTCACCACACTGGTCACTGCGGTTTGGGGAAGGGTTGCCCCCAGTACTGGTTCACATAACCATCGCCACGGTGGCTAGGAGATGTTAACTACCTCTGCTGGTACGCAGGAGGTCATGGGATCGATCCCGACCCTGACGCCTGCTTCTGTATATTTGGAGTTTGCGTGTCTCTCTCATCATCACGGTGGCTAGGAGATGTTAACTACCTCTGCTGGTGCACAGGAGGTCGTGGGATCGATCCCGTCCCTGACGCCTGCTGCTGTATATTTGGAGTTTGCGTGTCCCTCTCTCTTCCATTGGTCGCATGGATCTTTCTCTGGGTCCTTAGGGGTTTCCCTCCACAATTAGAAACACGCGTTTAGAGCATTTGGCTGCTATACATTTCCACGTGATAAGCCACTTCGTTGGGCTATCATTTGTGGCCAGGTCGCTCCTGAAAAAGATCTAGACAGCTCAGTGGGTCTTACCTGGTAATAAAATATAGTTTAGTTTTTAGTTTAAATACAGGTTACTGTGCTAACCACAGCATCCACTGAGCCTCTAATAATAATAATGGAAGGGTACCAATTTAATATTATACAGTTGACAATAACAGATGTCTCCACTCCCATTGATTTGCTTTGAGAGGCAAATTGAAGAGTATCTACTGATATTTATGCATACATTTGCTTTCCACAGTCATCTATATTAACACCTTATCACGCAATATTATATGCTTAATATGTAATAAAAATGCAGGCTTCACAATAAGGCTAACATTAAGTCGTTCAATATCTTTGACCACCATTTTTACACACCACCACCATCCACCATTGCACGACAATCACATTGTGGTGTCAGAGAGAATTCTTGAACAAAACCGCTGAATATTTGTCTCGTATTACAAACTTGCTTTGCGCTCAGCGAACGGCACAGGTTCGTGACGCCGCTGTGTAAGCTTTTCGCCGTTGTGCTGCTCGGCTCTCCGATGTGTTTTCGGGTCGCGCCGCAAGTTTGCTCAGCATGCTGTCTCCTGACGTTTCGTCGCACACCACGGGAGCTTTGCTCATTTCCCATTCAGTTCCCGGATTCATCAGTTCATGGAGAAGCTCCCAGCACGCCGAGCGAGCGACCCCCATGCCGAACAATATTCGGCGCACTAAGAAAACAAATCGCAGAGCCACGCGGCAAAGACAACCGCCCCTTGCAGTAACTGGCAAATTGCATACAAGACAATAGCATTGGTTCAGCGTATTCCATTTGCCTCTCTTAAAAATGTCCCAATTGCCATAATAATCCAGGCGACTACCACATTTGCAATGGACATTTGAAACAATACACTGTGTGACATTTTTTTTTTTTCTAGGTAGTAAATGCTATTTCCCGATTGCTTATGCCTCAAAAGTACAGAAAATAGCTATTATTCCCCACAAACTTTGCTTTTGTGACCAGGACAGTGATATTTTGAAAGTTACCTATTTTCCAGAACATTCCAGATAGATTAAGTGCTGAGTAAACATGGAGTAACTTCTAGAATATTCTAGAACTTTCCAGTAATATAAATAGTAGTATAAATACAGGAGCCTTAAGCCCACCAGTTTAGTTAAGTTCCAGCTGCCTATGTGGAAACATATCTGCATTTTTCTGAGATGGCATCAAGAGGCTGCAAGCCCTCCGGCAGACGCATTTTGCTTTGTCTGCGGCCAATTTATCAAGACAAGAGTGAAAAAGTACTCTGTGGAAGCATCTGCTAAGATATGTGAGGCCTACAACAAGGCATATTTCGGCATGCCTGTCGGGGATCAAGACAAACCCTGGGCACCTCATTTCACCTGCGAGCAATGCAAAACAACTCTGGAAGGTAAGATGGACAATTGTTGCTCGGAATTTTATATTATAAAATTTGTATTTTTAAAAAATTGTAAAAGATTTACATTTTTAAATATTTGACAATTTTCTATCTTATTCAAAAAATATATCATATGTGAAAAATGTTGCGAGAATATCTTACACATCAGTCATGGGTGAAATAAATGTATTTTTGTAGGATGGCACAGAGGGGAAAAGAGAGCCATGAAGTTCGCTATCCCAAGAATTTGTCGGGAACCCACTGACCACTCAAGCAACTGCTACTTCTGCATGGTGGACCCTTCCAAACGTCGGACTGGCAAAAATGCACCTGCTATCACATATCCGGACCTTTGCTTCATCCATTGCCCCAGTGCCACACTGCCATGAGCTCCCCGTACCCACTCCTCCGGAGAGAGAGCATCCGTCTTTAGAAGAGAGCAGCAAGTCAGAGAGCGAGGAAGACGTTGTAGATCCAGATGACAATTTCAGAGGTGGAGCTGAGGAGAGAAACCCATACTACCCCAACCAAAAAGACCTCAACGACTTGATCAGAGATCTTGGTCTCACCAAGTCCAATGCCGAGCTTTTGACATCTAGGCTCAAGCAGTGGAACTTGTTGGATTAAAGTGTGCAAGTCGCAGATCAGAGGAAGCGTCACCACCTTTTTGCAGCTTCTTCACCCGTCAAGATGGGCTCTGCTTCTGCCACAATGTGAGCAGTCTGTTCGAGGCAATGGGAATCGCCTGTAACCAGAATGAGTGGTGCCTCTTCATTGACAGCTCATCCAGGAGCCTCAAAGCCGTGCTGCTCCATAATGGTAACAAGTACCCGTCTCTTCCCCTGGCTCACTCGGTGCACCTCAGTGAGGATTCCAGGGCGATTTTACTAAGTTTCCCTGCTATCTTTGCCGTTGGGACAGCAGGGACACCAAGGCGCACTACCACAGGCGGGACTGGCCACAGCGGGCCAAGTTCTCTGTGGGGACGAACAACGTCAAGTGGGAGCCACTGGTGGACCCCCGGAAGGTGCTGATGCCACCACTGCACATCAAATTGGAACTCATGAAACAATTTGTCAGAGTTGTAGATAAGGAGTCGGCAGCCTTCAAGTACCTTCAAGACTTCTTCCCTAAGCTGTCTGATGCAAAGGTCAAAGTCGGTGTCTTCGTCGGACCACAGATGAAGAATATCCTGGAGTTCAATTAATTCCCCAAGAAGCTCACTAGTAAGGAGAAAGCGGCTTGGGACAGCTTTGTCGCAGTGGTTCGTGGCTTCCTGGGCAATCACAAGGTCGAAAACTGTGTGGAGCTGGTTAAGTATATCCACCAGGATATACTGGATTTGAACCCCGCTAACAAGGACAGTACAACGAGAACATGATGGGAGACTACATTTGGGGGCTGATTCGTGAAAGTGATTTACAGTATAATCATAAATCTCGAAAAACTTCTCACTTCTAAATCTTTTGTAGTCATTTTTGTATTACTTTAGTTTAAATACACGTTAATTTTGATTAATATGTTGTTGTTTTTCTCACTTTATGTGAACGAAAAGACACAAATTCGCCCGTTTTCTCATTTAAAATAGGTAAATTTCAAAACATCACTGTCCTATTCACAAAAGCAAAGTTTGTGGGGACTAATAGCTATTTTCTACACTTTTTAGGCATAAGCAATTACGAAATAACACCCACTACCCAGGAACAAAAATTGTGCTACATAGTGCTCAATTTTAAATTTCCTGTGTTGCAAATGGAGTTATCAGGAGGTTCTAAACGCCGCCTACCATATTCATTCTACTCATACGCATGCCACTCTCCAAATGCCGCTCGCAAACAGCTCTCTGCTCGGCACGATGCGCGTAAGGGCGGCGCGGGGAAGCGACGCGCTCACCTGCAGAGACTGCAGAATGGAGTTGAAGTAAATGAAGACGATCAGGGAGGTGTCGTCCTCGCCAGGATTTACGAAGAAGAGCATGTAGGTGATGCCGAGCAGTGGGAGCAGCACCAGGGTGGCCTTTACGGCTTTCCTGCCGCCCAAGAAAGCAAATCACTCACTGGAAATGTCAGGCACAAACCTGTCTGCTTTATTTAGAGCACATGGGGGAGAGAGAGGGAGGGGGGGGGCAGAGTAGGGGGACTGTTGGGAAAAAGAGTCCAATACGGAATAGGCAACGGCAGAGCCACATACCTGTACTGGATCGTCTCTGAGGTCGTTGAAGCGCGCAACTTTGTCATGAGAATTCTCACAATGTTGAAAAGAAACGCGAAGTTTATCTGCGAAACGAACAAAATGAACACCGTCAGACGTGCGGCCCCACCTCTTTTTTTTTTAAACGTGCGCGATTGTACGGGGAGTTACCCAAGATAATAGAACTCACCAGGAGGACAAGGATAACCGGGCCCTGGTAAATGTAATCGATGTGTTTCCCCGCTGTTTTCCCAAGCCAGCACCTGTTGAGGAGAACGTTCGGAATGAGAACGGCGAGAAGCGTGGTACGGGTCAAAGCTTGGCGTGCCTCCTGCCCTACCCCCCCCAGCCCCGCGGATTTCCCCGTGGATTTACATCCAAATCAACGGGGCGGTGAAGCACCAGAGGCCATCGCATCGCCACGTGCTTAAAGGACATTGTGGCAGAAGTGGCACATTTCATTAAAGGGCAAACGCGAATCTGTTGATGACGGTCTGCCGTGGTGAACGTTTGCCGCAAAACCACCTCTTAGTAAAACCCACGATCTAACCACAAGTTAGGGCATCTACTTCACAAATTTTAATTGCATCCTTGAAAAAAGTATAATTATCTCGGAAATAAGATTGATGTGCATGCTACTATATTAGTATATAATACAGTAGTAAATAGTAATATATAGTAGTATATAATAGTGTATAGTAGTGTTAAATAGTGTATACATTTCATATTTTACACTCGTATCGGCTAACACCCCCAACTTAAGCGTATTCACGCTTACGCGGGGGTACGCGGAACCTAACCCCCCCCCCCCCCCCCCCCCCGTGTACTGTGAGACCTTACTTGTAATATAATTACATGCCTTTATTCACATGGCTACAGACATGAGTGACATATTCCACCGTGAATGTGCATGCATGTACATACACCACATACATCACATATATCCCACGTAGGCATTAACGTATAATTGGAACTCAAAGGATTTGTTCTTCAAATCTTCAATCACCTAAAACACTTAAAAATTAATGGTTTAAGAACACAGACACACACCCAGGCATATGGTCACACAGGCCACAGTGGATACGGGATAGCTTCACGACGCGTGCACTCCTGCAGCACGATGCAGGGCGAGTGTGTTAACGTCACAACTTACAGCCGGGGCGAGTTAATGGAACGCTTAAAGAATCGTTTATGCTGCCGTGGGAATGCGCGTCATGTGAGACGAAGTACAATCCACTCATTCCCCAGCAATTTTTATTCACCGTCTTAAATATGCCATTAAAAATGCAATTAGGTTCGTAGGGCTTTACCAGGAAGGTTCGATATTATTTCCGCACGCTGCAAGCTGAAGTACATTCCCTTAATCGTACACCTGAGCTGAGCTCTGGAGATTGCAAAAGTTGCGGGTCGCCTTAAACGTATCTCTGCTGAGACAACTGGGAGTGCAGGTGAGACGTCCCGTTTCACGCAGTCTCACTCACTTCTCGTTTTCATAGTACAGCTTGCCCAGAGCCCAGGCAACCGTGATGGGACACGGAACACCTGCAAGAACACAAGTTGCGAAGCACGTGCAAGGGCAAGCAAGGTCAAGCGAGCTAATTCCCTCTCCACCAATTTCTCACAAGGTGTTTGCAATCTCACGTCAGGTGTTTTCTGCACCTTACCCTTTGAGATGCACCGTCAATGCTACTGGGGTTCTTATAAAGCCGTGCCCCTTGGCATCTGTAAGAGTAAGACTATACATCATTGACAATGGGGTCAAATCGGCAGAGAAATAGCCTATTCCGAGCCCAGAAACCACACTGTGGTTCAGGCCTGCATGCTCATTGTCCTTGAGTAATGTGGTTCCATGCACTCGCTCTCCCACCAATGCATCTCCACCACTCTCCCTCCCGTATCTTGTGTGGTCAGGCCATGGGGACGGGGGTCAGAAAGCAATCCTTAAAACTGCCTTTAATGAAGTGTATTGTCAGCATGCAGTGAGGGAAAAAAAGTATTTGATCCCCTGCTGATTTTGTACATTTGCCCACTGACAGAGAAATGATCAGTCTATAATTTTAATGGTAGGTTTATTTGAACAGTTAGAGACAGAATAACAACCACAAAATCCTGAAAACGCACGTCAAAAATGTTATAAATTGATTTGCATTTTAATGAGGGAAATAAGTATTTGACCCCCTCTCAATCAGAAAGATTTCTGGCTCCCAGGTGTCTTTTATACAGGTAACGAGCTGAGATTAGGAGCACACTCTTAAAGGGAGTGCTCCTAATCTCAAATACTTATTTCCCTCATTAAAATGCAAATCAATTTATAACATTTTTGACATACGTTTTTCTGGATTTTTGTTGTTGTTATTCTGTTTCTCACTGTTCAAATAAACCTACTATTAAAATTATAGACTGATCATTTCTTTGTCAGTGTGCAAACGTACAAAATCAGCAGGGGATCAAATACTTTTTTTCCTCACTGTAGGTCAGGCTCCACTGTTTTCATTCGGAATCTAATTGTTCTAGATTTGAAAAGATGTATTTAAAAAAATTGCTGTGGTTGTTCCGCTTGATGATGGAAGCTTGTGTTGCTTCCGAAACGTCGTGATTTGATAATTTAGATTTTTTATTTTATTTTATTTATCATTTTTGTATCTACGTGACTTTACCTAAAGAACCAAAGAGTATGAATCTAATTGTTACGTGTAAATCTTACCACCACCTTCACATGGTGACATCACAAAGACCACAGGCTCCGATTATTCAGTTGAAGCTCAGTGGTCGAATTTTTACTTTCAATGGGGCGATACTCAATGTATCAGTCTTGGAGAGACACTCGACTGAGTCAGCCATTAACTGGGATGTTTATTACAGGCTTCTGATTGCCGGTCAAGAACTCTAACCGAGGCATCGATGTAACAGTGTCAACTAATTTAACCAGTGTAATTGTCGAGTCCTTCACAATAGCTCCACTGTAATTATCATTTAACAATATATCCCTGTTGTTCTCAGCCACAATGCACACGTTCATGCGTTAACATAATCCTTGGATGGGCAAAATTCAGCTAATTATTCCAACGAATACGCGCTTGAGTCATGCTGCACACTCACACCCAGTATATTTCTTCTCCGTTACAAAGGACAGGGCCCAAAGACCCCAAACACACCAAGCAGCCGGCAACCAAAACAGCACATTCAACATTGCAGTAGGTAAGAGTGAAGACGTGTCTTGCATTGAGCAAAGTTGTTGTTGTTATTATTACTACTACAACTACTACCACGAGAGCTTTGGGGGGGAATAAACAAACGGTGTGGAGGGAATGCCACGTGCTGAGTAGCCCGTGAGAAGAAGGAGATGGAGGAGGACCATCGACGCGGGTCTTGTGAGCGGCGCGCGCGAGTGCCGCCGGAGAACTCACCCCAACCCAGGCACAGGAAGACCCACTTGCGCAGCTTGTCCGTGGAGTAGGTCATGACGATGGCCGTGTGCAGGTAGCACCCCTCGCCGAACATCCAGAAGAAGTTGGTCACGTGGAAGTAGTTGTAGATGGTGCTGACCACGCGGCACCAGGGCTGCCACGTGGCGAGTGTGCAATGAAAGAAGCGAACTTTGCATTGTATACGCAGCTCACGTGCTGCTCGTTCACTTTGAGCTGCTCTGAGATCAGAATCGCAATCTTTTAGTTTTATGCTGGAGAACATCCGATGAGCTATGAAGCTTTTTTTTTCTTCTCGCAGACGTCCGGTAGGGGTGGGTCACAAAGTGAAAACGACGAACAATCCCCCCCAAAAAAACGATCGGAGCGCAAAATATACGAAAGGTAAGCAAAATCACGTCAAATAAATAAGTCAACTAAGTCAACTAAACAATCACGATTTTACCGGGTGAAGCCCACTTGAGCTATTAGTTCGTTTTCAGACGCGACGAGGCCACAATTGGCAGCTCAACGAAAGCGGCTTATCGCGTGGGAATTCACAGCGGCAACGCAGGTGAAGTAACAACATCAAATGGCTGGACGTTTCTGCCTTTCTCCTGGAAGGGTGGCAGAGTGCTTGAACCCAAACGAGGGGGGGGGGGGGGGTCACCGCACCTCGTTGGCTTCTTGCGTCCGGAAGTCGATCAGCTGCAGCGTGTAGAACATGGAGTTGCGCAGGATGAAGGTGCTGATCAGGTTCCAGTGGATGATGTTTCGTAGGCATCGGATACTCCTTGAAAAATGAACACACACACACAGAGACAAAGATCCCCCGTATAGCCTTAACAGACTGTTTGGGGCAAGTGCTGTTAGCGAGCACCTACGAAGGCCAGAACGGCACAAGAGGGGGTGGGTGGCCAGCACCACGCCCGGCTGCCTTTGTCTCCCCAGTGGCGATGTTTACACATCGCACCAGGTACTCATTTGAGGCTGAGTCGACCTAGGGGAGGCCCAAGACCGGTTCAGATAATTGTCACTGGTGTTGGCCGTGAGCGGGAATGGAACCCGGGTCGCCGGGTTTGTAGCGCAGTGCGCTAACCACTACGCTACTGTTCCCCACACACACACCACACACGTACACACACACACACATCCACATACACACCCACACACACCACACACGTACACACACGTGTACACACGCGCTAAATTGAGTGCTTTTAAAATAAACATCACAGAGCTCACAAAGTCTGTCACTAGAACAGGGTCGACGAACCTGTGGCTCTGAAATATGGGTGAGAAACATGTTTTATGCGCTACATCTAACAATATAGATACATAACTAAAACATGTTTTATACGCTGCATCTCACGATATAGATGCATAACTCAAAACGTGTTTGTTCCCTAATCCGTGCCCTTCTCTGTCTGTCTCCCAGTGTATCAGTGTATCACCGGAATGCATTTCTCTATTTTCCTTTGCATACATTTCAGCTTTTGCTCATTTTTCTTTGTCAGTGGGCTTGATGTCTAAGCAGGTATTGAAATATGAATGAAAGCTGTCTAATTTAAGCAGACTGATATTCTGTTTTTCGTTATAAAATTCAGATTTTCAAAACCACTCCATTCTGTTCTCATTCACCTATTTCATCATTTTAATCCCATTCCACCTTCAACAATTGCCCAAGGCGGACATATTCAGTACGGTTTTACTCCGTTTAGAAAACTGTAAGTATAGGAGTGCGGAAAAAAAGATTACATTTTATGGGATTTATAATTGACATTTTATTTAGGGATCTATCTGGTAAAAATGTATTTATTTGCACACGATGCAACATATTTTTTATGCCAGGCATGTTATGAGCCCAGCAAGTCTTTTTTTTTAATGTTGTCGCCCCCTCTGATATTCATTAAATTTTCCCTTATTGCCTGTGCTGTTTTTCATTACCTGTGAAAGTAACCTAATTTATTCCCCCATTCACATACGCAGAGTATTTCCATTCGTATTTTATCGCCAAGTCTTGTAAAGTCACGTAGAATGGAAACAATAAAATAATAAAAATATAATACAATAAAATTCTCACGACGTTTCGACTGCAACACAAGCAATCATCATCAGGTGTGAAAACCACAGCAAGAAAAACTAAGTTGCCTCTGTGGTAGTAGTTACATTGGAGAAACCAAACGACATGTCTCGGACCGCATTCGTGAACACAAAGCAGACCTTAAACACGGTAGGACCAACACCTCGGCCGTGGCAGATCACTGTTATAATTCAGTAGGCTCACATGACATTGACTTCTCCAAGACAGAGGTTCTTTGCAAGCCATCTGGCTACCATGAGAGATTCGTTCATGAGGCTATGCACATATACAAACACAGAGACAATTTCAACCGAGAATATGGATTCTGGTTTAGCAATCATTGGAAGGATTTGATCAACCATTTCGGATCTTAATTCATTGTTCACGCTTACGGTGGCTTTCAGACCGCATCCATTATTTTCGTCTCCCCCCTCCTCTTTTCCGAACATAGATGGACTCGTCCATCTGAACAAACTGTCAAATCGCTCTCCGTGGTGCTAACGTTAAAAAAACCGCCACTTTTTTCAAATTTTCTTGCTGTGGTTTTCACACCTGATGATGATTGCATGTGTTGCAGTCGAAACGTCGTGAGAATGTTATTGTTTTATAATTTTATTATTTTATTGTTTCCCTTCTACATGACTTTACTGAAAGAACCAAGAATATGAATCCCTGCAGTCACGAAAGCTTTAAATCAAAATTTAAGTCTTGTCAAGTTTTACGTCCAAGAAAACAACACGGGGCAAAGCGCGGACAACGCTTCCGCACTGTACATCTTTAGCCTTAAATCTCTCTCTCCTTGATTCTGAAACGAGAAACATTGTGCATTAATGTATTCCGAAATAAATGAGACACGTCGCGCTCCACGCCCCGTTGGCTCCGCGACAGACATGCCCTCCGCAGAGTGGCAGGCGGGATGCAGAGCGAGGAGAGAGCGGAGGAGCCGCACCTGAGCCCCATAAAGAGGAGGAAGGCGATGACGAGGGCCGCGAGGGAGATGCAGTGGCCCAGGTAATTGATGATGAGCGCCACCTCGTAGTGGAAACTCTCCGTCTGTACCTCCGACACGGGGGGAGGGGGGGGGGGTGGAAGGGGGGGGGGTCCTTCATCAAGGAGCGGGTGTGATAATTGCAGTGGTAGGGGAACGTTGCCACGGTGTGATGGTGAGCACCCTGGACTTGCGATCCAGAAGGTGTGCACGTTGAACTTCCTTCGCACCGCACGCGGTCAACCGCGCTCATCCGACGTGCGGGGTTTGATTCGATCTCTCGGTGCGGCAGCTGAAACAACGGTGTACGTTTCTAAACAAATACAAAAGCCCCCGCCTCTGTCCACACCCGGCAGAATAAATGGGCACACCACAGTTAGCCAAATCGCCAGGTGGCGTGTGGTGGAGTGTGTTGTGGGTAGTGTAGTGGGTAGTGTAGTGGTTAGCGTGCTGCGCTACGAACCCGGCCACCCGAGTTCGACTCCCGATCACGGCCAACACCAGTGGTGACGATTATTTGGACAGGTCCTGGGCCTCCCCTAGGTCGACTCAGCCTCAAATGAGTACACTGTGTGGTGTAAACATCGCAACTCGGGAATCAGAGGTGGTCAGGCGTGGTGCTGGTCACCAATCCCCTCGTGTACCGTTCCGGCCTTCATAGGTGCTCGCTAACAGCACTTGCCCCAAAAGTCTGTTAAGGCCACACGGGGGATATTTGTCTGCGTGGGTACCCCCACCTCTCCCGAGGTGTTTGGCCGGCGTTACAAAGCAGGCCATAACAGCCGCTAGAGCCGTGCTTTAAAACCTGGTGAGCTGCAGCACACCAAAGTCCCAGTTGTGCCGTCGAATGTTTGGGAGTTATAGCGAAGAACCTCGAGTTACACCTCCCCCACCTCCCCCTTCGATTGGTCGCGCCACAGAACAGCGGCAGCAGACAGCCGTCAACCCCCACCCCCGGCCCTCCCAACATCCTCGCTCGTGCGTGAGCAACAGGGCAAGCAGACAGAGAGACGCGGAGACACACGGCAGCACGCAGACATGGGAACACAAATGCACGAATGCACTCGCACACTGTTGGCCGAATTGTCACGGACTTTGGTGCCACTTTATTTCCTTGTTTTACATAAGGGGCCGTCCATAAATGACGTCACGCGATTTTGGACGATTTTGACACCTCCCCCCCTCCTTCGTCACACGGTGTCGCAAAAAGTCAGACCCCCCCTTAAATGTGACGTCACAAAGCTCTGCCACCCCCCTAAAAAAAAACATGCTTCAAATCGCTTTAAACTATTGTCATTGTAGTGCGCATTTAATGTGACGCTGCACTCTGATGTTGTAGGAGAAAACATTTATTAAAAAGTCTATTTAATTAAGTAGAGCGTGTTGTCTATATTTATTTAAAGTTGCGCATTTTGATGTGACGTCATATTTCTCACCCCCCCCCTCGTCACCCATTGTCAGAAATGTCTGACCCCCCCCCCCAGGTGCGTGACGTCATTTATGGACGGCCCCTAAGATCGATATAAAAAAAAACTGAGGATCGTGAGCTCTCTCTCAGCAACAACGCATCCCCACCCACCCCGGCCTACTGTAAGTTGTCTGGTTGTGCTGTACCACGAAGATCCAGAAAGCCAGAAAGCGTGACAGCCGTGGAGCGGAAAAGGCTTGGAAAGCACCCCTCTAGAGGATCCTCCAGTTGAAGCTCTTCCACCAGCGGAGGCGTGGGAAGAAATTGCAGGACTGCACCCTCACGTGTACGTCTATAACAATGTACCAAGCGTCAGTGTTTTGCGACTCATCTTTGCCAGCCACTCCAGGAGACCGTCTTGATTGTGTGCGGTCATCACAAAGGCAACGTCGTTTTACGAGAAAAAGTGTCCAAATATGTAAACTTTTTTCGTCAAACAATTAAAGACCGTTTGTTGTCAAACCCGTTTAATTTCTGTTTCATTTATTTGGTATAGCCCTGTGAGCCATTCGGCTCTTGAATCGGGTGCAACCGCAACAAACAAAAAACATGAACAAGAAAACATCCTAAAGTGACTACGCGCAAACAGAAAAATCCAGGAACAAACAGCAAAATCTTCCAGAAAAAGCACCGTACATCAACCCGTGGAATCCAGGACCACAGGTGAACCGATCTTAGGCGGTGGCTGTATGAATATAAACGGCTATCCTTCTGAAATATGTTTTCTGGCAGGATAAAAAAAGGATTTAAAGGCATATGTTAAATAATGAAATAAAAAAACACATGGATGTAACCCACACAGCAGGCACATTCCCTCGACTACAATTCTTCAAGAGGTGCGCTGAGATGTGCTGGCGGATAAAAAAATGGGATGGTCAATTCTAACACTTACACTCGTACCCTTGCCTGCCAGTAATTTAGCGTCACTTAGAGAGATCACCTTTACAGCCAGGTAAGAGCCCATTGCGACCAGATCCTTCGTTTTCAATGGAGACCTCGACTTTAATAAGCAAAGCAAAAGGACGCATACCAACGTGGAAACAATGTAATGCGAAAATATCAATAGCAAAATGTCACTGCGCTATTAAGAACAAATATGAAATAATAAGTGATATACAGTGAGGGATAAAAGTATTTGATCACCTGCTGATTTTGTACGTTTGCCCACTGACAAAGAAATGATCAGTCTATAATTTTAATGGTAGGTTTATTTGAACAGTGAGAGACAGAATAACAACAAAAAATCCAGAAAAACGCATGTCAAAAATGTTATAAATTGATTTGCATTTTAATGAGGGAAATAAGTATTTGACCCCTCTGCAAAACATGACTTAGTACTTGGTGGCAAAACCCTTCTTGGCAAGCACAGAGGTCAGACATTTCTTGTAGTTGGCCACCAGGTTTGCACACAGGAGGGATTTTGTCCCACTCCTCTTTGCAGATCTTCTCCAAGTCATTAAGGTTTCGAGGCTGACGTTTGGCAACTCGAACCTTCAGCTCCCTCCATAGATTTTCTATGGGATTAAGGTCTGGAGACTGACTAGGCCACTCCAGGACCTTAATGTGCTTCTTCTTGAGCCACTCCTTTGTTGCCTTGGCCGTGTGTTTTGGGTCATTGTCATGCTGGAATACCCATCCACGATCCATTTTCAATGCCTTGGCTGAGGGAAGGAGGTTCTCACCCAAGATTTGACGGTACATGGCCCCGTCCATTGTCCCTTTGATGCGGTGACGTTGTCCTGTCCCCTTAGCAGAAAAACACCCCCAAAGCATAATGCGTCCATCTCCATGTTTGACGGTGGGGATGGTGTTCTTGGGGTCATAGGCAGCATTTCTTGAGCAGGGGGACCTTGCGGGCACTGCAGGATTTCAGTCCTTCACGGTGTAGTGCGTTACCAATTGTTTTCTTGGTGACTATGGTCCCAGCTGCCTTGAGATCATTGACAAGATCCCCCCGTGTAGTTCTGGGCTGATTCCTCACCATTCTCATGATCATTGCAACTCCACGAGGTGAGATCTTGCATGGAGCCCCAGGCGGAGGGAGATTGACAGTTATTTTGTGTTTCTTCCATTTGCGAATAATCGCACCAACTGTTGTCACCTTCTCACCAAGCTGCTTGGCAATGGTCTTGTAGCCCATTCCAGAATTGTGTAGGTCTACAATCTTGTCCCTGACATTATTGGAGAGCTCTTTGGTCTTGGCCATGGTGGAAAGTTTGGAATCTGATTAATTGATTGCTTCTGTGGACAGGTACCTTTTATACAGGTAACAAGCTGAGGAGCACTCCCTTTACTAGTGTGCTCCTAATCTCAGCTCGTTACCTGTATAAAAGACACCTGGGAGCCAGAAATCTTTCTGATTGAGAGGGGGTCAAACACTTATTTCCCTCATTAAAATGCAAATCAATTTATAACATTTTTGACATGCGTATTTCTGGATTTTGTTGTTGTTATTCTGTCTCTCACTGTTCAAACAAACCTACCATTAAAATTATAGACTGATCATTTCTTTGTCAGTAGACAAACGTACAAAATCAGCAGGGGATCAAATACTTTTTTCCCTCACTGTATCTGAAAATGATTACCGTATTCCCTGGATTATAATGTGAAGTGTTCATCCCTGTATTTTAAAGAATCTTAGCACGATTGGCTACGTATGTAGCTACATACGTAGCCAACCATACAATGAATGCAATATGTGTTTGTTACACCAGATTTGTTTAAGCTTTTCGATACCGGACGCGCGTTTGGGGTTGCATATTACTTTCCGGAGCATCTTGCTGAACCCATCCGTACTGGACGTCTGTGCAAAAGAGCTTCGTCGCTCATCGGATTTCTCCTGCAGTCTAAAAGAACGATTCTGATTCTGACCTTACACTCCGGAGGATACGGTCAATATTGAATGTTAAGTCACGTGATAGACAGAAAATTGCTCATCTATCCCTCAATCGTTGGGTGGTGGGGTTCAGTGGCGGACAACGCCTGTCTGATCACAACAAACACTCAAACTCTACTTCATTTAGCACGTGCGGGCATGTGTGTTGGTCCGAAGCAAGTGTACCTTGTTTTCCACGATGGGCTTACACTCCGAGTAGTTTGATATGAGCGCCCATGTCCCATTCTCCAGACACTCTCGGTATACGGTTCCTGCAGCAACAACAACAACGATTGCAATAAAAAGCATGAATTGTAACTCTCGGGAAAGTCGTGGATTGAGAAGATAGAAATGGCTCCGTCGTTTTGCATTTCACACCAAACACACACATAAAAAACGCGACCTGCGGTAACAAAAAAAAGAGAGTGAAATTCACACGAGAGGAAAGTTAGGGTTGAGCCAACACGGATGAAGTATACAACTGTAAACACGCACTTATTTAAGTTGTTAAATGGAAATGTACAGAACCGTGAAAAGTCGCGAGACAAAATGCAAGGACAATTTAATTGAAATTAAATTCAGCAAATTCAATTATTGTGGTTAATGCGGACATGATTCCTTCTAAAAGTGTTCAGTTTAGTGTTTTAATTTTCTTAACACCTGTTTTGCTTCCAGAAAAGAGAGGAAAACCTATTCTCAAATTCAAATTTATTTAATGTTTGCTAACGATAGACATTTCAGTGATGCCAACTTTCTCAAGTAATGTATTTTTCATATTTACGTATTTGTAATTTTAATATCTAACGATAAACTCACTTTTCACACGACAAGTCACATGCTTTGCCCTCGGTTGCTCATGTGTAAAATTATTAACATACAAAAGTAATTCTACGAATTTCTATTAAAACGTCTTATCTTGCATTTGGAATGGGGAAAACGTATCCTGCTGAATAAAATATAGTGATGAAATATTGCGGGCACTTACGATTAGTAAATTACTCAAGTAGAATAACGTGTCTGTGTTGGTTAAGAGGACGACCAAATTACCCCCCCCCCCCCGCCGAGTGCGCTATGTTTAGCTTTTATAGACTGCCTACGCAGCCTATAAAAGCTAAACATAACCTCCGTCTCTTTTTGGGAAGAAGATAGACGGTGGCAAGGCCAGACGAGCTGGGATCCGATAACCGTGGCGGGAAGGAGTTAGCAAGGGGCCTTGGATATGGAGGCCGTACTTTCCACTATTTGCCTTTTGATGCATTCTATAATTTTGTACTGTGACACAATAGCCATGTTTCTGTACGGCTACTTTCTCCCATACTATTGTAAAAAAAAAAATGTTGCTCTCAGTGGAGCAGTGCACTGTGTTGATTCAAAGATCCCATGGCCTCATTACTTAACTCGTTGGCTACAGTTCCCTTTTATGAGAGTGCCAAAATTGTGTGTGTGTGTGTAAATGACGGAAAGAGCCCATCACAACATAATAATTAGCACACGCTGAACAATGAGATCTCCCCCACACTCACCTCTGAGGATCAGATCACACGCATTGATTATCTTGTACACAATGCCCGGTACTGCATCATATGCGTAAAAACTGTCGGGAACAAATGTGAGACCAAGGAGCTGAATCGTGTGGCGTTTTTTGTTCATGCTTTTGGTATAATTGTGGCGTTTGCCAGAATTCCCCAAAAAAGCAATTCTGTCCAATGCATGCAGCAATTTGTTAGGCAATCTTTTTCCATGAAAATAGTCGTGTCCTGCTGTGGGACTGTTTCCGCCGCTCCACTTATATTTTCCAAGCCGCTGGCCCTGCGTCATTGCAAATGCGCGGCTGAATGATTGCATAGTTGTACAGCCGTGCTGCCGTAAAAAAAAGGTCCTCAGCAGTGCCACTCACATGTGACCACGTGAGCCACTTGCAGCCTCCGCTACATCCACGCAACACGATGAACACGGAGGAGTGGCCGTTCGCTTGACAAGCAGTTGCCTATCACCGCCACTCCAGCCCAGCAAAATTGGCTGACCAGAGCCGGCTAGCTGGGGAGGCGGTGTGCTGTGCAATCCAGCACAGGCTGGTTGCTGTCGGACGTTTTCTGTTGGGTTATTCGAAAAAAGAAAGAAATAAAAAGGTGGCACGATGTATGTTGAACTTCGTTCGCACCTGACGTATCCAACCTCACTAATTGGAGGTGCGGGATACGAGGAAGATGCCCGTGTTGAACGATACGAATGAGATGTCCGTGTTGAATGCAATCAATTCGCATGCTGCTTGTAGCTTGCCACATTCAACCACGTTGGGAGAAAATAAAAAAACAGTCGGTGGAATGTTGGTCGCATACCGCGAAGGCGTTCGTCTCCAACCAAGGCCAGGACTAGTGGTAACAGGTTGCAATGTTATATTTCTGTTGCATCAACACGAGCAGGTGTCTAATGATTATATATATGACCTCGTGAAAAATATGTAATGCCTAAATATTTACATCTTTGGTTTGTGTTATTTGTATTTTAATCTTGATTCGAAGCTTTTCGTGACTGCAGGAATCCATACTCTTTGGTTATTTCGGTAAAGTCACGTAGAACGGCAATTCCACTGCTGGATTATTTTTTTTTCCGCCTGAAGACGACCGCTGGTGTTGCGATCGAAACGTCGTGATATGTTTATTTTTATTTAGTTTTATTTTTCCACCGACGTTACTTTACCGAGAGAACCAAAGAGTATTTGTATTTTTTGTTCGCCTGAACTATACGTTTCCCAACTGATTGCTTTTCTCAATAATTGGTGTAGATGTTATTGTATTTGTAGTTTGCAACAAAGCTTTTATTAGTCTATTCAATTAGTTTTTTTTTGTAATACATTTTAGGTCGCGTATGCCCGCGCTGTTGAAAGTAGCCTATCTCGACACACACACACACACAAAAACCTCGTCAAAATATCGTTGCCCTCCGAGAAAGAGATAGGAACACGCTGTCAGGATGTGCTCTGATTAAGTCACCACGACACATCCCTCTGAATGTTGAGCACCTGTGTAAGTACAATGAGAAGGACACGTTTGGTTTTTTTCGCGGCGTACTTTTCTCGCAGCGCCCAGAGAATACTGGAGCATTGTTGCAATCAAGATGCGTTAAGCACACGATATAAATCCCTCGTAAAGGACGAATGCCAGAGCGGAGAAGTCGGAGGGAGTGCAGAGCCCCCGCCCACCTCCCCCTAATTGCTCCTGGAAGTGTTCCAGACAATCGGGGAGCACCGTGCCCTGCCAATCCACGCTCACCGGGGACCCCTCCTTGACCGGGCGCGCAGCGTTGAAGAGCGCGCGAGACATCGCACGCGTTCAGGCAGGCGAAGAAGCGCTGACGCGTGCAGACAATGTGCACACACGTGTGCAGGTGATAAGGCGCCGATGCGTGCAGACAATGCGCACACGTGTGCAGGTGATAAGGCGCCGACGCGTACAGACAATGTGCACACGTGTGCAGGTGATAAGGCGCCGATGCGTGCAGACGAAGAGGCGCGGACTCACTGTGAATCTCGTACCGCACGCCGTTGAAGAACTCCGGGCAGGGCCGGGAGACCACCTGGCCGACCGGAGTGCTGGGCCAACACGTCTCGATCTCGTCCAAGGTGCTGTTACAGACGGGGCCTATGGGAGCGCACAAGCCAGGGCGCGCGCTTCAGGTGCACGTACGTACGTTGAACTTATTTCGCACCGTACGTAGCCAAGACTGCGCTAATCGGAGGTTGCGGGAAATCGGAAGTGGGTCGGCACCCACGGTGCTGTTCGGCGGGTCTGGCCGCGCTCACGGTCTTCTAAGCTCAAACGAGGGGGGTGGGGGGGGGGTGGTGGCCACGTCTCACACGAAGCGTTCGCCCGGACCGGTGACTCTCACGCAACTTGCATTCCGCGGCCGCGGGCGCTGCCGAGATCAAGACGCAGGCCACCGTACCTCTCGGTGCTGTAAATTAGCATATCAATCAGGGGCGCTGTATTCAACCCGTACGCCCTGCTTTGCTTTGGTACAAATCTGGGCGTTGACACCCCCCCTCCCCCCTGCTGATGGATTACCTCTGGCATCAAGCTAACAGCCACGACGGCGACAAGACAGATTGACCACTGATAAACACGCGTACACCATTTTTCCATTCGTTAAAATGATAATACTGTAAATATTTCCCAGCAAGGTGCACACAAAGGCGGTGTGCCAAAAAGTCAGATTTGCTCACCCCAGAAAAAGACAACTCGATGTTAATTCGACAAATGAAAGGTCCTTGATGGACACAGCCTCGCGTATGGCCGGGCAGGGGAGTTGTTTGGTGTCAGCTGGAGGCTTGCGGGGATGAGCGAGCACGTACCCGTGATATTGATCCCGTCGCTCAGGAACTCGCAGTCCTCGTCCACCTGCGACGATATGGAGGAGGCGGAGGTCCACAGCCGCTGCGAAGGCAGAGAGAGAGAGAAAGAGAGAGAGAGAGATCGCAGTCATAAATCAGAGACGGCAGAAATGCCGCGACTATTATCTTCACCGCCGATTACGCACACGTGGCACGAACATGAAATCGTCCCCGCGAGACTTCCACACACCCTGCTCGGGCAAGCGCACGTGAACACCGACGAGAGGAGGCGCGACTGATCCGACAGCTCCGTGCACACAGTGCGCGCGATTGTACGTTTGTCATTGAGCGGAGAGGCATTGTTTTGGGCCATTTGCTTTACGGGTGACGGATTTACGGAATAAGAATTTACAAAAACCGAGCGTCTAGCCATTCAACGTAGCGATACAACGATGAGACGACTCATTTTTGAGTCTGCGCTGGAACGGTGCAATTTCAGTCGGCACTTCACGTTTCTCTCAATCCCTCCCCTATTGTCCAACGACAGTTTACAGGTAATGCGAATCGTTCGCCACGAGCTGCTGGATGAAGGACTCCCCAAGACGTCGCCATCTGGCACGGCCGAGCAAGCCGCACGGCCGAGCTGATTCCATCGCTCCGTCACCATGGCGAACATTCCTCGTGGGTGTCCTTGCCTCCTTCGGGTTCCACTCCGTCGTTCGTCTTGACGACCGGCCAATCATCCCTTTTGTCGCCCGTTCTAATATGCGCTTCTGCGGCCGTCTGGAACGCTCTTCCCTTCCGATATTAGGACGCCACTGGAGCTACGCACTGTTAAATGATCATCTAGATTGCAAACTCATTTCTTTAAAACTGCTTTTTGTGTTTAGTTTGATGTCCTTACCCACCGCACCTCCGGTTAGCGCGGTTGGCTACGTACGGTGTGAAATCAGTTCAACATACATGCGTACAAACATGTTGACGTGTTCTGCCCAAGCCCGCTTTACTTTCCGCAACACGAAGTGCGATGCCTTTAACTTGCGCCGACGCAGACGTTGACAAGAGGACATTCATAAACGGAGCAAAAGCTGAACGGATGCACAAGGAGGCAGGGAAGCGTGGAGAGGAGGCGCGCGCTGGATGTTACAATTTTGAGACACGTAGAGAATTATGGGATTAGGAAACCGTCCGCTTGTCACGGTTGGCTACTTATGGTGCGAACGAAGTTCGATACAAACACATACATACAGGAATATAGGATGAGGGAATCATATGTCTTAAGCAGTTAGCGTATGTGATGAACTCTTTCTTTTTTTAGACACATTGGTACGTAGATTTTTCGTTATTAAGTTGAGGTTTCTAAAATGACTGTAACCTGAGATAAGGTTTTACCCTGTCTGGCAATGAAACAGTTTGTGTTAAGATGTTAAAACACCAAACTGAAACCTTTTTGCAACGAATCATCTATCTGCATTAAGCACATATACTTGTGGCGATCACACAAACAAAAGGCATGCTCTGGTAGTATTGTGTTGCTTCTTGTTTGCATATTCACCACAGGGATGTGTGGTCAATGCAGACATGATTCCTTGGAACAGGTTTCAGTTTGGTTTTTTAACATCTTAACACGAATATTCTTGGTTCTGTCAGTAAAGTCGCGTAGAAAGGAAACAATAAAATAATAAAAAAATATTTGAAAAAATTGAAAAAACCGCCACTTTTTTCCAATTTTCTTGCTATGGTTTTCACACCTGATGATGATTGTTTGTGTTGCAGTCGAAACGTCGTGATCATTTCATCGTTGTATATTTTTATTATTTTATTGTTTCCCTTCTACGTGACTTTACCGAAAGAACCAAGAATATGAATCCCTGCAGTCACGAAAGCTTTAAATAAAAATATTAACACAACTGTTTTATTTCCAGGAAGGGCAAAACCTCTTCTTATTTTTTGACACTGGCAAGAGGGCTGATGATGACTGCAACCTGTTTGTGCCCACGTATTTAAGTCGTCATTTCGATCCTGGTTCATCTGTGATAACTACCCCAGGTATGAATGCTCTACTCTGTAAGCAACCATCGGTAGTAGACTGCATTTACGGACGCCACCTGGCTTTGTGAAATGGTTCCGCTTGATTTCAGCGGGGACATGCTTCGCCATTTGAAGCGAAGCCATCTCGCAGCAATGTGTTGACGTATGTATGTTGAAATTGTTTCGCATCGTACGTAGCCAACCGTGCTAATAGGAGGTGCAGGCCTTTTTGTAGACAAATTAGACATCGGTCATTGTATTTTTTATGGACTTTGTCCCGTCTAGCTGCAGTCATACGGACGTATTGAACATGTACACGAACAGCCCTGGGCGAAGCCCTCTCCACGCATTGTCGTTCATGGGGGTTGTTTAACCGTACTTCACAATTACGGTCATGTGCTGGTTGTTGAATGTGGAGAGAGTGGGCGCGGGGTGAGGAATCCGGGGACTGGTTCAGATAATCACTGACCAACGATGGTAGCCATTGCTGGGAATCGAACTCTGACTTGTCGCGATCGTGGTGCAGTGCACAAACCGCTTGGCCGCCACTCCGCTATGCAATGTTATTCTGCCGTGTGGATCTAATGGCCTTACCCCGAAAATCTCCACGTTCAAGATCAAATGCAGGGATAAGTACGAGTTTGCCGCAGAGATGGGTGAGTGGGGATTCCATGTGACCAACGCACTACGATTACAACAAAAGCTGTACGTCCTCAGGGAGCACAGTTAAAGATAGGAGGCGGCGTTCCAATAGCACGTCACTTTCATAAGCCTGACACAGAGAAGCGATGACTTCTAATGCCACCTCAAAATTCTGAATGAGTAACCTTGCAATTTAGCACTGAAAGTGACGGTCTTCTTCTTTCGTGCTTATATATCGGAACACATTTTAAACCGAACAACAGCGCCTCTGCAACGTGACACAGAAACCCGAATACTGCAATCGGTCACGAATCATTTAGCAATGACAAATCATTTCATTGCATACGCTGTATCGCTAAACGTTTATCCTCGTCCATCAGGGAAGATAGTGCGTCCTCCGTCTACTGCTCGCGTGGGGGGAGGGGGGGGTCACTGCTTCTCCTCTGCTGCTCACACTGTCTTAAGTAACGTTTTTTTTAGTCAGCTGGCTAAAATTGGGCAAGTTCATGTCACCACCACGTTTCACCCAGACAGCCAGAGAGCACATACTTAGATCTATCTTGACTGCTATAACAAGAATTACATATATTGTATTTAAGAATGCACAAATGAAAAAAACCCACAAATATACAATTAAGAAGAACTGAAATTGAACAAATACTTAAGATTATCAATGATTTTCATTGTCTGGAAAATCGTTCCAACATCGACCCAGGCTGCTATTTAAATCCGAGATGCGGAAAAAGTCACAATGTCGGTAAAGGAAATGAACGCCATCTATCAAGCTGTATCCAAAATGAAAACAAACCCTAACATCAGATTCCCTTTAATTATATACACGTAGTCTCTCACACCCAATATTATGATTCATAATTGTTTTTTTGGGTTAAGTCGTGGACAAACCTCAACAGCTCAGAGCTCGAGACGTAAGCTCCTGGTAACCCGAGGATGCTAGATGTCATCTCCAGCGAAACGCCATTGGCCCTTTAAATGTTGTTAGATTCGTATCTAAATGTTGTTAGATTGTTAGATTCGTATCTAACAAACAACGCCGACGGTGCTGCTGATGCGGCGAAACATTTGCCACGTTTGCTTAACATGACACTTTCATGAATGTGCTGCGTCGGGTGGAGGAGGGGTTACGACACATTTATTACACAACCCAAAAACCCAATGATCGTCTTTAGCTTGAATTCACTCTCATAGTTCAATGACGAAGACCCATTTATATCCACTCAATAATGGATTCTGTTCAAGCTCCATTACTCCGCATTTTACATGGCATCTAGACACAGAGTTTTGTTTACTCACGATCTTATATTTCAATGTTAATTGCCCTTTGCAGGACAACGCTTGTATTTTCATTAGGCCGATAATGTTGCATTGATCCATTGATTCTTAATCGGTTTGTTGGGGGGGGGGGGGGGTTATGCTCACCATGAACGTTTTAAATAGCACGCGAGAGAATTCATTATTTCCAATTGGTGCAAATGATGCACTGATGCTACGTTCATGCTAACGGCACGGAGAAAAATACGCGAGCAAGACAAAATTAGGAACGCAAACTAGTACGGTGATAATGAAAGAAAATGAGAATTGATTCTTCACTCGAAATTCATGCAACATCAATTCGTGAGATTGTATCAAATCAAGGCAGTGGAGGGATGGGGCAGTGAATTGTTGTTCGCCAAAATCTCATTGATTTAATTTAATTTCCATCTCCTTGGCTGCTATGAGCCGACGTCTGTCGCAGCTGCCTGTGTACTAGGGATGGAATATAAATCGGAACTAAATTGTCTTTAAGAATTGGCGTCCTGATATATATTTTTAAAGCACATATTTCACAGTGTGGAAGCTATTAGCCTGATGACATATCACAGGAATAATTACAGGTGAGTGGTGGTAGGGGGGAGGTGCATTCAGTGATCTGTCAATGGCTCTAAGTTCAATCAAATAGAAACAAAATGACGACACATCACATGTCGTGCGTATGTGCATCCGGCAGGAAAATGCTTCAACACAATCCATCCTAAGTTCGTGTTTGCAGCCAATTCATCCGTACCCTGATGCGTTTTACAATACGGCAAGTGAGAGAGCCAGTGCAGGAATAGCGGACAACCTTCAGTCCGACCCTTGATGGGGTCTTGCAGAGTCTCGGACCGTACGTAGCCAACCGTGCTCATCGGAGGTGCAGGGAAAGGACAACAGACTAACGCTGTTCTAAAGAAATTCGTTTTCAATCGAGGTTTAAAGTGCAAACCCTCACTTTCCAGATTAATTTTCTGTGTGTGTGTCGGATGCCGTGAAAAGCCACTTCAACCCATCATCCCTCCAGGGTCAATAAAATAAGTACCACTTTGTCGGGGAAGCCAACAGTGATTGTCCGCTAAAAAAGACTCTCCTATCATCGTTCCAGGGTCAATAGAATGAGTACCACTTTGTGGGGAAGTCAAAGGTGATTGTCCTATTAAAAAGACTCGCCCCCTTTCATCGAATTGCGGAATTTTGACCACTGACTCAGAGCTGTGAACAGGCGAATGAGCATTGTCTCGAATATTACTTGATCAGCAAATCAATGTTGACTCTGGCATGGGTTAAGCAACAATTTCCACTGTCATATTCAGTATTCACTGCTTCCGATAGTGGCGCGCGAGGAAAGACAACTTGACTTGCAAAATGAGTGTTGCAAGTTCAAATCCAGGGAAAGGCTCAGCCCGACTTCATCATCTTTCTTTGCGCAATAAAAATAAGTAGTATTTCGTGTGAAGCTGATCGAGGCCATCCTACCAAAATCATGGAAATGTAGAATTGCCATGACTGTCTCACTGCCTCCTAGTCTCCGTGCCAGCCGGTCTCCCTGCACCCTCCAATGGTAGACCGACCCAGCGTTGTAAATGCCACATTCCTATGGCAGGGGACAAAACTCTCCTCGTGGCATTCACTCCACAGGGCAACCTGCTGTGCCGGAGGGCAGCTGCATTTGTTCGGCTGATGCATTTGGAGTCTGCCGTGCGAACGTGCTGTGGATGCGGCACAGGTGGCACTACATCCCAAGCAGGTGTCCTCCATAAATATACCGAACCTGGATATTGCACCCCGCCCACCCCCTGAATGCCAGAGTAAATAACTAACGTGTACAGCCACGCTTGTTCAATCAACAACGAGTGGAGTCGTGTTTGTAGCACAGGCAATATATCCTGCAGAGTGATGCCAGCATGTAGACTACAGGGACATGCGGTTTGCAGAGACACACCAGTGACACAGCAGTCAAAGACGAGAGGACCACAATGCAGTGCTTCAGGAACTACTGGTGAGTTTTCGCATAATGCACAATGGCTGAGCGCTTTTCTTGCACCACGTATCGGCTTTGTTCATTTTTACTTGTTGGTTCCTCGGCCAGTAGAATGTGTCTCTTGTTATGATGATGAACTTTCTCGTGATTCACAGATTGCATTAATGTGACCCCAACGTGTGGGACAGACCGCGCGTGCAGAGAAGTGGCCTCCGACATGATCGACGAGAACTCTGCTGATGAAACACCCCCTACTCTCACAAACCAGAATAACTCTCAAAAACAATGCCCCTTTGGAATCTCTGGTAGAAAGTTACATTGACTTACGAGAGTTATGTTGTACGTGTGAGAGTTCGTGATGTGGTGGGGAGCGGTAGTGTAGCGGTTAGCGCGCTGCGCTATGAACCCGGCGACCCGAGTTCGATTTCCGCTCACGGATAACACGAGTGACGATTATCTGAACCGGTCCTGGGCTTCCCCTAGGTTGACTCAGCCTCAAATGAGTACTTGGTGCGGTGTATAAAAGCATCGCCACTGGGGAGACAAAGGCGGTCAGGCGTGGTGTTGGCCACCCACCCCTCGTGTGCCGTGCTATCCTTCATAGGTGCTCGCTAACAGCACTTGCCCCAACATTCCCGATTCACGCCGGGTTCGTAGCGCAGCGTGCTAACCGTTACACTACCGCTCCCGGTAAACGTGGATCTATGTCTTTTATATCCCGGTCAACGTGTAACGTTTGGCCACGTTGATCAAGCAGCTCCAACCACGTGATGATGATGGCTGACCCGACGTTGATTATTTGCTGGGATGCAGGTGCGTCTTCGCGAGAGTGTGATGCACGGTCTCTGGGCATCATGCATGTTGCACAAGTAACCGGTAAACGGCCCTTTGGCCGATTCCTATTCCTATTAAGCGTCACACTCCATGGGAGGCAAATGACTTGGTTCACTGATGATGATGATGATGACTCTCTCTCTCTCATGTGTTCGTACAACAAAATAGGTGTTAAGATGTTAAAACACCAAACTGAAACCTTTTACAAGGAATCATGTCTGCATCATTAACCACAATGCTTGTGGTCAGAATGCAAATTAAAAAAAAACATACTCTGATAATATATGTGGCATTGTCTTTGAAACTGATTGGTCCACACCAGAGACAGCTTTCTTTTGAGCCTCGTCCTCTGGTCAAACACCGTTTGAGACAAGGCTCAAAAGAAAGCTCTCTCTGGTGTGGACCAATCAGTTTCAAGGACAATGCATCATATTATCAGAGTATGTTTTTGTTTATTTGCATTCTGATCACAAGTAATGTGGTAAATGCAGACATGATTACTTGTAGCAAGGTTTCAGTTTGATGTTTTAACATCTTAACACAGCTGTTTTGTTGCCAGAAAAAAGGGGAAAACCTATTTGTCATATTTTGGTACTGGCAAAGGAGGTCCCATGATGTGTTCGTACAGCCAGTGTCTAGCGTGGAATTTAAGCAGTATGCAACTCTGTGCTGACATTGTCTTTACGATCGGAACCCATCAAACCAACCGGCCATACCCGTCATTTTTTTGGTGGGAAGGGAACACAATTTGAAAATGTTGGCGGTTTGGGATTTTCTGGCTCGTACACAACTCTGTACAAGCCAAATTTCAGCTCTTCTGGAATGTGTAGAACGTTACAATCGACGTCTCTCGATCGCGACCATCTATTTATAACTCCAGTAGCAGGACTCCAAAACTGCGTGCTCCCATCGTAACAAAACAAACAAACCTCCAAAATGCCTCCTCGTATTTGATCTCCCCAGATGCATATAAACATCAAAACAAATGGCACTTCGCTGTGGAAACCGGTTCAGAGTTTTTGCTCCGCGTCAGAACCAATTGCTGCTGCGTCAAGCCGCTCCGGCGAGGGCTGCGTGGCGGTGGCGGCTGCGACACCGATGGGATGTTGTCAGAACGAACAAAAACAATATATATATACTTGCGGAGAAAATACTAAAATGTGGATAAATTTGCGGGCTCATTCTCCCCCATCCACCCACCCACCCGCCCGCAGCCTAATCGCAAGCCGCTCAGCCCGTGAAAGCCTGTGGGTTCGCAAATCGCCCTGCCGGAGACCGACCGATGGCTGGCCGCGGAGAGGAATCGAACTCATGTCCCCACGGCCGTCTCACGGCGGCAGCGGTGCGTGAACCACCCCGGCTGCACCTCCCGACAGCATTTTGCTCTGCACGTGACATTTATTGTCTTCCAAAAACATTGCTCTTGTGCGTTGTCAAATTATGTAGTCTCGCGATTTGTTCATGCTGGCATGCTGAAACATGGCAATATGTTGCATGCGACAGTGTGGCAATGTGATTTATGTGGTTGTATTGTTATACATGGTGTTTGGTTGTAAATGGAAAATTGCTGTATATGACAGTAAGTTGTGTATTGTTATATGAGTCATTTACACCAGGATGTAGTTGTCATTGGTATGATTGTCTTCAGATTTTTCTGTTTTGCGATTGGATTGGATCTGGTCTTGTGAGTGTTGTTGTATATTTTATGAACAGCGCTTTCAGACATTTTTACCCGCAGTATAAGGCACTTTAACTAATTAATTATCATACCTAAACATTAGCGTGAGTCTATGTGGCAATGTTGCATATGAGACACTGCTTGTAAGAGAGCGGTGGTGTAGCGGTTAGCGCCATGCTGCGCTACCAACCTGGCGATCCGGGTTCGATTTCCGCTCACGGCCAACACCGGTGACGATTATCTGAACCGGTCCTGGACCTCTCCTAGGTCGACTCAGCCTCAAATGAGTACCTGGTGGGTGTGTAAACATCGCCACAGGGAGACAAAGGCGGCCGGGCGTGGTGTTGGCCACCCACCCCTCGTGTGTCGTTCCGGCCTCTTATAGGTGCTCGCTAACAGCACTTGCCCCTTGAGATTGTTCAGGCTATATCGGTGATCTTTGTAGGATGGAGCGTGCATCGCAACTCACCTGCGTGAGAAGGACGAGGAGGAGAAGACGTCTCAGGGGACCTAGTAGTGACGACAGACCCCGTTCCATGTTTCCACCGGGGTCCTCACGGCTCCTGCTAGCTCCAGGTGGCTCCTCGCGGCTCCTGCTGGCTCCACCTGTCTCCCGAGCGGCTTCACGTCCACGCTCTCTCCTCCTCCTCCTGCTGCTGCTGCTCCTGCACTCGAGTGCCGCTGCTTCTCCCAGGTGCCGGGTCCTCGAGGTGCAGCTCAAAGTCGGGTCAAGTAGGTGGAGCCAGGCACTCTCGGTCCTCGATCAGACAGACAGACGCACACGTGGTCCTGTTGACTCAGCTGTTCCCCGTCTTGGTGGGAGTCGTTCTCAGGTGGTCTCGGTGTCGAGACCAGATTCGAGGTTGTTCCTACTGACCCCTTGTTGCTGGAACTGGCCCGAAGGAGGCCCAGACTCGAGGCGCTTCTGGTCACAGAGGTCCGTTCTGCTCCGTGGTCCGATCGTTATTGTGGCTTGCCGGTCACGGTGAATCTTCGAACCCGGTGCTGGTCCCAGGCGCCTCTTGACGCAACCGCGGGCACCGCGCGCGCGCTCCTCGCGGGAGACGCACGAGCGGCGGGCGCCCCCTGCTCATGACGGCGCAGGAGGGGAGGGGGCAAGGGGAAGTGGTGTGTGTGGGGGGGGGTCTGTGGGGGAGTCGTGTGGAGGGGGGGGTAATGGAGGGGTGCAAGGGGATGGAGAGGAGGAGCGCACCGCCCCCTCGCACCGCCCCATGAATTCACCACCTCCCTCCCTCCCTCCCGTCTCCTCCACCTTCCACCTCCTCTCCCTCCATTATCTCGCTCTGCCTCTGCCTCTCTCTCTCCCTCCTCTGCTATCTATTCAACCCCCTTACCCTCTCTCCATCTCCCTCCCTCCCAAAAAATATATTATTTTGAAAATGTGCTTCCCTCATTTGCATTGGTTCGATGCCACCAGTGATGATGAGCGCCTACCTCGATGTTCGTGTGGGCACGGAGACACTTTGAGAGCACAGAGACACTTTGACTTTCTCTTTGTTTGCTGCAGTCGAGAGAACCCACAACGCGAATCGCGAGACGCGAAGCCGCCGCATTTAAAAGCCATTTATGCAGGAGGTGCAACCAAATAATGAGGAAAGTGATGAAGACGGCTCACAGGCAGATTAAGCAGCGCTGGTTCCTCCGGTAGCGCGGGGGCGCGTGTGTGTGCGTGTGTGTGTGTGCGTGCGTGTGTGTGCGTGTGTGTGTGTACGTGTGTGTGTGCGTGTGTGTGCGTGTGTGTGTGTCTGTGTGTGCGTGTGTATAGTGGGGAGCGATAGTGTAGCGGTTAGCGCGCTGCTCTATGAACCTGGCGACCCGGGTTCGATTCCCGCTCACGGCCAACACCAGTGACGATTATCTGAACCGGTCCCGGGCCTCCCCTAGGTCGACTCAGCCTCAAATGAGTACCTGGTACGGTGTGTAAACGTCGCGACTGGGGAGACAAAGGCGGTCGGGCGTGGTGCTGGCCACCCACCCCCTCGTGTACCGTTCCGGCCTTCATAGGTGCTCGCTAACAGCACTTGCCCCTACAGTCTGTTAAGGCTATACGGGGGATCTTTGTTTGTTTTTGTGTGCGTGTGTGCGTGTGTGCGTGTGTGCGTGTGTGTGTGCGTGTGTGCGTGTGTGCGTGTGTGCGTGTGTGGGCTGGACTCGCTAAAAGCTCACTGTTTGACGAATGCGCCGAGTGTTATTCACATTTTCATCAACGCTCCTTTGCGGCGGAGTGACCTTGCGTGATGTGAGTCAGCACGAGGGAGGCAGTGCCCTGCGTGTGTGTGCGTACGTGTGTGTAATCGCTGTGTGTGTGTGTGTGGGGAAGCGGTGGTGTCGCGGTTAGCGCTACGCTGCGCTACGAACCCGGCGACCCGGGTTTGATTCCCGCTCACGGCCAGCACCAGTGACGATTAACTAAACCGGTCCTGGGCCTCCCCTAGGTCGACTCAGCCTCAAATGAGTACTTGGTGCGGTGTGTAGTAAACATCGCCACTGGGGAGACAAAAGCGGCCGGGCGTGGCGCTGGCCTCCTATCCCCCTCTTGTGCCGTTCTCGCCTTCATTAGGTGCTCGCTAACGGCATTTGCCTCAACTGTCTGCTAAGGCTATACGGGGAATCTTTGTCTTTGTGTGTGTGTGCACGTGTGTGTGTGTGTGCGCGCGTGTGTGTGTGCGCGCGCGTGTGTGTGAGCGTGTGTGTGTATGCGCGCGTGTGTTTGCGCGCGTGTGTGCGCGCGGGTGTGTGCGCGCGTGTGTGTGCGCGCGCGTTTGTGCGCGTGCGTGTGTGCGTGCGTGTGTGTGCGCGCGCGTGTGGCCAGTCACACGCGCACACACACACGCGCGCACACAATCGCGCGTGTGTGCGCGCGCGTGTGTGCGCGCGTGTGACTGGCCACCAGTGACTGTGGAGGTGGGATGTGCGGCTGGGGCGAGATTTGTACGCCTGAGAATCCCCACCGAGTTGACTCACCCGGTCTGAACACACCAGTCCACGCGAAGCACCCAGACTCACGCACCCTTGATCAAGACCGCCCCCCCCCCCCTCCCCCGCGCGTGTTGGCTGTGAGCGTTTTGTTCCTCGTTAATTGAATTCAAATATTTTATACAAATGAGATGGACATTGATGTTAAATATTGACATCCGAATGTTTGCCGAAGCTGTTCGCAGAGATTAAAAAAATCATCTTCGAGGTTCAACGGCGATGCCTCTTGCAGGATACCATCCCTGCTCCCGTTGACCTCACACTATCGTCTCTCTCCATCTGGATGTGACAGAACCATGGAACATTATTTCAAACTTGTAGAAGCGGGGAGGTGACCGTGGAGGCGATTAATTTACTGGACAAATAGCCTGCTCCTGCCTGCCGAATGTTATGAGGGTGCAGGGACAGCTTTCCCCTACTGCTGCTGCTGCTGCTGTGACACAACTAGGAATGGTGTTAGGGAAATAAACCAGACCCCTGTGGAGTGATGGCGTAGTGGTTAGTTCACCGCGCTACGAACCCTGTAACCTGACTTCACATTCTCGGCACGGCCAATGTGAATTGTTCCCGGGTGCCCTCTACCTCACCAATCTGCACTGATCAACATGGCGACTTGTGGTCGAATAATCGTACGCCTGGTAGTATATAGTAGCGGCTTACATCCAGCGGTGCATGTGTTGTGCGTTTAGTTTGCTATCCTTTGCACACACCTCCGATTGCCACGGTTGGCTACGTACGGTGCGAAAAGAAGTTCAAGATACGTACAAATGGCTCTACATTTTCATAATTAAATGTATTCCGAACTCTGTTGTGAGGGCTTCACATGCGCTATAAATGACCGGCTGCAGACTCCTCTGATCAGTGACAATCGTGCCTTCCACGATTCATGCACCACACCGTAATGAGCCACTGAGCAAATGTGCTGTGTGTCATGTGAGCATTTAATTTCCCTTGATCGTGACACTGCCAGTCAGGCTACCTCCCAAAAGTCGTGGAGCCGCCTTGCCTCAGCTTGCACGGTTAAAGTCGATCCAACCACTGCTGGAAATCTGAGCCGCCTTCAATCCCACCAAACACAAAACCGTTTTTACCAGAACGATATGCAACATGGGTATTTTAATAGCGCTACTCCTAAGCTTAATTTTGCGAATGAAATGTGATTGATAGACAAACACAAATAACGCAGCGTCCTTGCCGGAGAGACAGAAGTGTCTCTGTGCTCATACGCCCGGGAGTCAAGCGAAGGAAAATGAAAAACGCTCCGACAGACACCAGCCAGAAAGTATATGCTTGTTAATAATGAGTTATGACTTGTTCATAAAGCAGGCACGTGGCCACACACTCGGCACAAACGCGCTCCAACTCACGCGTTCGCCCTGCCACTTCTCGTGTTCGTCAGCACGTTGAAGTCCGCACCGGCGGGGGTGAAAAGCAACCAACCAAAACCAGCACCGCCCTCAATCGAGGCGCCTCCTGCGCCTCCTTTATGGGCACGTCCGGACGAGACGAATGCCCCTTACGCTGCTGCGGAGTGTCGCGCAGAAAAAAAAATGATCGTGTTGGCCTTTGAAATTTAAATTATCCCTCTGAGACAAAAAAGACGTGTAATTAAATGTCGTTTTTCCATAAAGGGTAGCATCCGGATTCTGACTGTATGTTGATTGCAAGAGTCTCCTCTTGTTTTCGGGTAATACTTTAACTGTGTGTGTGTGTGGGTAATTTGGTCGTGGCTCAATATAACAGTGGCGCTGCATTGGATTTAATATCCACGCACGGGCAGGCAAGCATCAAGATAAACAGCCTCTCCGTGGCACAGATGCTTTTTCATTCGCGTACACAACACGGGTCTCTGTGGCCAACGAGGCAACTATAAACCTTCGCCTTTGGCACCTGGCTCCCCCACGTAGCCCGGAGCGGACACCTCCAGTGCTCATCTGTAATTAACCTTTTCATTCTGGATCACCATTTCAATCGGGGAAACAATGGAAGTCTACACAAAGTGCACGCGCAGAACTGCGGTCGCGCACCTGACGCTGAAGCATTCGCCGATTTCCTCATTCAGTGTAGGGCACAAATCACGTCCACAGGTGATATCTGCACCAATGCATTATGCATGCAAATTTGTGTTGGCCAGATCGTGTCTGAATAAATATCTGAATGCATAATGAATTCCGTGTGGGCGATTCGCGGGGAGATAACACGAGCTTGTCGGAGCCAGCGCGAGCTGAACCAGCTTCACACACAATTCGTGACTGTGCTCGTTCTAACCCTTCTTTAGATGTTCTTATCGCTTCCTGCTGCCGTGTACATTTCTCTTATTACGTAGGCGCGCATCGACGTCCGCTGGAAGGATCTCTGCTTCGTAGGAAAATGAGCGTTTTTTTTTTACATTCGCGGGTGACGGCGCACGGACAAAAACGTGGCCACACGAGCGACAAACACGCAGACACGTACACAGACACGGACGCAACGCTGCCAAGTTGCGTCTATGTGCACGGGTGCACACGCCAATGTCACAACACAGTTAAACGCATAATTCGATTTGGGATTAAAAGTGGCGCGCACTTTCTTAATACGGCGATTATGAATGTGCGGCTCAGGTTCGACACAATACAATCTCTGACATTTCGCCCCCTCGTCGCTTGCTAATCCTCATTGTGTGAGTGCCATCGCCCGTGGCGTCGATAAGCAAGGCTAGGAGAGATGGTCACCTCGCCTGGCGATGAGCAGCAGCCGGTGGAACTCTTGCGGCACCCGACCAGACACGATGGGACACCGCGCGGCGCTGGGGTTAATTTTTGCGCGTAGGGAACAGGGGCCGATGTGTTTAAGGCCGGACGCAGGTTCCATCACGGCACGGGTGGTTTCTTTCCTTCCTATTTTTTTCCGCCCCCCCCCCCCCCCAACCCCACTGGATATTCGTTGCGCCGAGTCAGAACCAATCACCGATACGCTGGCCTCACAACACAACCGAATCGGGCTCCTTGCATGTTACGTGGCAGCAACGCCGTCAGCGCGCGTTCGTCTCGGCTCGTCCATTGCGTGTGACGGTCCTGGGACTCCCCTAGGTCGACTCGGCCTTAAATGAGCGCCCGGTTGCGGTGTGTGGGTAACGCCGCCCACCCCTTCGTGTGCCGGGCCG